TCATCATTTAGTAAATACGATACCCATCATATTTGCCTTTTTCCTATTTTATATCTATCAATTGTTTGATAATTTTCCATTGGCTTGTGTGTAGTATAATAAAAAGGAAGCCAGTTAGGGAATGGGGAGAAAGAATAAAGGGAATTATTTTAGTAGCTTGGGTATCTGTTTTTATCATTGCCTTCATTACACATATGGAATGTATCAGTAAAAAAGATTAAATTCCTTTTTCTAGGTAAAATTTACATGTGGCAAATTCTAGAAACTAGAAATCTCTACATTTTCTTAAGAGGATACTTTAGTCTTCCTTTTACCAAGGTGAGCTCCCAAGTATGATAATAAATATTTATCATGTGTACAAATGAATTATCTCATGTGAGAATTCCTGTTAAAGACCAAGTCAGACAAATATAAACCTATTTCATAGTAACAAGAGTTTAACAAGAAGCTGTGTCTGTGTTTTATTTTCTCTCATACCATCTAGAAATAGCACTTTTGATGTTATCAAAATTCTTTTACCTACATACTCCAATGGGATGCTAAATAGATGAATGTGGTAACAGTTGAAAAGCACTGTTAAGTCCTTGGAAAAGAGGGATTAAAGAAGTATGAAGTATCATGTTCAGAAATCATTTTAAGATTATCCCCTAAAAGTTTGTGGCATCCATTCTCTAGAACATTTTTCTTATTTGTGAATGTTTCTGTGTATGAGTAATGAATAAATCATAACTGAAGGTTCCATAGTTTGATAGACTGTGGGAGAATTGTAAAGAATTAGAACACTAGATAAACAAGTAATTGTTACAGTACACCCTATTCGTGCCTATGATCAGTTGGAGTTCCAGGATCAGTGTTCAAGCTGCACAGAAAAAACAATAAGATCTTGTCAAGATTTCATTCAACAAAGGAAATCCAAATTCTAGTAAATACATATCACTGAAAACCACAAACTCAGTATTTCTCTGTACTATATATGTTTAAAATTTGAATAAATCCATGCTTAACAAATTTTTGTTTTATTAGATTTATTCTTTATTCACTCATGTGAGTTTCATTCTGTTAAAAAGGAAATTATATAAAAATGAGCAAAACTGTAGATTTACAGTACTTTAAAACTTTACTTTCTAGGTGTGATATTGACAATGCAAAAGTGATGCAAATGATATTACTAACTCTAAAATATGCTGAAGCCCCTGGTACATGTTCTACTGCTTTACTACCTGCAACAAAATTCCTGACTAGCTTGATAAGCATGGCATTTAGGAGGTTTTCTTTTTCCTGAAGTTTAAAACATGAGTAAAGATTAACATCATTCTCTGTAACTCAAAATTCTTGCTAGATTGTGATTTCTTCCCAGGGTGAAAGTCGATTCTCTGACAGGATGTTTATTTGAAAGTTACTGCTCATTTTTAATTTTTTTAGAAATCACTTTGTTTATATTTTGTAGATTAATTTAGGACAAGAGCAACACGCATTTGTGATTCTTCCTAAGTCAGGCCCACATTTTCTTCCAAATGTTTCCTTGCCACTTACTCACTAAGGTAAACAGTAAGACTTCCTCATTAACTAGGTAGCCTTCATCACATGCATACTTGAGGTTATCATCCTTTTGGAGAAAGGTAGCTAACTTGTTTTTATTTTTTTATTTTATAGAGAAAAATAACAACAAAACAGACAAAAACAAAACAACACAAAGCAATAAAAATGATACAGAATTTCAAAACAGGATGATAAGAATTAACAGTGGCTGTTATATTACATATTGTTATGTTCAACAAAGTTGCTCAGATTACCAGATGAAAGAATGCAAGATTGATCAAACAATTAAAGAAAATAAAAATAATTTTAAAATATTGGAAATGATACAAACTAATGACAATATTTTGTAAAAGAATTGTAAGAAGCAGATTCTAAGTTGTCCTTAAGTAGTGTAATTAATGATGTATTTTTAATTTTCTAATGTGAAAAATGTTAGCTGCCAACGACCAAGATTATCTCTGGAAGGTTATACTTTCCTAACCTAAATAACAGAGAGAGAAAATAATATGCTCACTCATTGTTATGTTCAATCCCAAGTTAATATGGGATGAATTGTGTTACTTACTTTCAGCTGTGGAAAAATTCTGTATGTAACATTCTCAAATCAAGTAAGTCACAGGAGTTAGGTTAGTTTGTGGTATAATTTATTAGTGCAGGATTGTAAGCATGGTGCTAGTTATTTTCCTATGAAGAGTGAAGCACTACAGACTAGAGGAAAAGAATAAAATGATATAACATTTGATTGTCTTTTGTGTAGAGAAGATCAGTATTTTGAAGTCATTTATTCAGAAAAATCTGGTGTTTATTTTTAGCGTATGAATTTTTTTTTAAAAATCTACATATTTTAAAAGCTTTGCTCTATCAGTATGTGACTGAAGCACAGATTTCTTTAAATAATAACAATCGGACATTATTTGTCCTAAACTGTTCGGATTTATGACTAAATCAGCACAAGACTAGTGTCGGGCATCTGTTTTTTTTTCCCACGGATAATACAATAATAGTCTCAATGTCTCTTGTTCACTTTTAACCCTATTTTGTTAGGTAATTATTTTATTCAGCCTCTTCCCATTGATTAACACTCTAATTCTTGGGGCTGGGGATTTAGCTCAGCGGCAAAGCGCCTGCCTGGCAAGCGCAAGGTCATGAGTTCAGTTCCCGGTACCGGAGAAAAACCAAAAAAAAAAAAAAAAACACTCTAATTCTTGCACGATCAACAATAAGAAGAAAGCACAGGGCTAAAACGTAAATATATATTTATCATAACTGTATAGTGAAGAGCATATATTTGAAAATTTTACACACCTACTATATATGAAATATTTCATTCCTGCTGAAATTTATATCTGCAACCACCAATATTAACTTCATGTATATTTTCCAGGACATAGTAATAAAGATAACTCCTAATTGTCATATTTGTCACAGAGTTTGTGTGTAACTTACTGATGAGAAAGTTTAGGCCAATACTATGATGTATGTTTAAATAAAATTAAGGCAGAATGAGGTTGAGTCACTTCAGAAGGATAGTCATTGAGCTACCCAGTTAGTGATTTGGAAGCCTTGACTGAAATACCAGTGCTCTTTCTGCAACTTCACTATGTCTCTCCTTTACCAGTTATAATATGGCAATAAAAGTGTGCTTGTCCAATACAGATACCTACAATTTTTAAGCCACATGAAGAGCACTTCTTATCTACTTATCTACTTTCTGGAAAAAAAAGAGAATGCAGAAAAGAGAAAAAATAAAATCTTGTATTTATGAAATAATATCTATGTCAGAATTCACTCTGACACATATGTCACATGGAAAGTCATTTTCTTTGTTTTAGTATTTTCTTATAAATATTGTTTCTAAGCCATTCCTCAAAAGGTCTATGGTCCTGCTTGCATCCCATGTTCCATAAATATTTAGGTTATGATGTTATTTTAAATTCTAATTTTGTTTACATTTATTTAGGTTATATACTGAAAATGTTTAAAGTAATATTTAAAGTCATAAGTTCAATTTTCAGGGATTCTTTGTTGCTGCTATGTTTGTTTGTTTTGTTTTGTTTTGTTTTGTTTTTTTTTTTTTTGGGTTTTTCTCCAGTACCGGGAACCGAACTCACAACCTTGTGCTTGCCAGGCAGGCTCTTTTGCCGCTGAGCTAAATCCCCAGCACCTATGTTTGTTTTTTTGAGACAGGGTCTTGCTATGTAGTTCAAGCTGTCCCTGAACTTACTGGGTAGCCCAGACAGGCCTCAAACTCTGAGCAATCCTTCTGCCTCAGCCTCCCCAATTCTGGGTTTATGGGGATGCACTACCATGCCTGATTTAAAAATCATAAATTCTTTTAATAACTTTTAACTACTTCTAACTGCTAAAATGGTAGGAAATCTAATTTCAAAGCATCAAAATGTGAAGGAAAATGAAAATGAAAGTAATGAAAATACATTAAAGTTGTACAATGCCTAAAAGGTCAACATCTAACATCCCACATAAATGTTAAAATGCAGATCCTAAGAGATACAAAGATTTGAGTTTTCATTTTTATCTCTCTCTTACTTGTTTTGCTTTACTCATTCAATGTTTGCTCAAAGATGAGATCAACATTGCATTCATTCATTTTATTATTTTCATTAAAATAAGGGCACTTAAATTCTTATAGGCTAAAAGGAAGGAGATGGAGAAGAAATATTTGTAAACCATGAAACTTTCTTAAAACCTAATAGAGGATTTAGTGAAAATGGTGCCTTGATAATCATTTACATTGCTGACAAAAGGCACATTATAGTTTCATATGTGGATTATTACCAATGTTAATTTGTGAAACGCTAGACAAAATCATGCACTCTGTGCAGTTAAGGAAGTCTACATAAAACTCTAAAGATTTTTTCTTTAAATTCACTTTAATTTCCAACATTGAATTTTTTATGGCTATTACCATTCAGTAGTAAGCTCCGTACCAGAAACAAAAAAATTTGCATACTAATGTCCCACATAAGGAAACCTCAGTGAAACGTTAGGTAATTAAGGTTCTGTTGAAACCTAGTTCCGACAAGGTACTCTGAGGTTACCAAAAAATGATTCTTTCTATCACTGTTTTAGCTGCTCTGTAAAAGTTTCAATACAAAGAGACATGCATATTATTTGCCTAATTTTTTAAAATATTACCGCAAACTCTACAAAATTTTAAAGTAGAAGTGCTCACTGAATTGCAGTAGATTTTAAAGTAATTGATTAATTAACTACAAACTGAAGAAGTTCCCCTCTCCATGAACTGTTCTCCATGGAATGATAATATGGTCTTGCTAAATATCCTAGCTCTCTATGACAGCATTCACATATATGGACTGCTAATCATATGCAGTGAGAACAATCAATGATCAGTTAAGATTCACATGTCTTACTTCCCATTATCAATAGAGAGGAAATCAACTTCTGTTGGATTATTTCTATATTTATAAAACTAGGGTGAATCACATCTTTCCAAACCACCATATAGGAATAATCTTGCTAAAGGTTATTTTTATTAAGAATGACATGAAATCACCATATTCTCTATATATGTCAGTTATTCTTTTTCTTTTTCCCCCATCTCAATTTTAGGGAATGAGATGCTCTTTCTGAGAATGATAAGCATCCTAGCACAGTAGTGCCACACATTCACGCAGCAGCAGTAATATTTTAAAGATTTTAAAGGAAGAATTAGAATGGTGATATATGATTACCAACCTTCTGAAAAAAATGTTTTTCTTTTATTTATTAAAATCCAAGTGTGGAAATAAAAAATTAAAAAGCTTTAATCAAAAACTATTTCTTATGCAGATATATATGTAAAAAAGGGCAAAAAGTAACTGGTCAAACAGTTTTATGACTAAGTTTAAGCAACCTTTTCTAGATTGCACTAAAGACATGTTAATTATAGAATCACTCTTGGAAACTTAAAGTGCACAACAACCTATCTTGGCTTACAATTTTCACTGCCTTATTTCACTGCAGTTTCATTTGTTATGTAAGGGAGGTATAGCTGGAATTGTAAGCTTTAAATATGTATATGAGTTTGAATGCTATCATCATAATTAGTTCGATCACAAATAATTCTGTTAACATGCAAGTAAATGGTGCAGTATACTTTATGACAACCAATCCTCAAATGAGCAAATATTGTAAGGTCTTGGCACTGTCCTAAGAAAAAATTAAAAGCATAATGTTTTTTACAGTGTGAAAGATATTTCATTTAAAATGGGATGATAGATTAGGTGGTACCATGAATCAAGACAAAAGTCCTGTGGAGGATGAAGAAGAGACAAATTCTCCTTAGGTTTGAAAATAAAA